TTAATGCAAGCTAACCAGGCTAAATACAAGCTAACAAGTACAGATTTCTCTTTGGTTTCCACTTTAAACTCCTACCTGTTTAAAATGAAAGTGTTTTAATATATTTAATGAGATATTTTTGCACCTATTGACGGGTTTTATTTGATGTTGAGGAAAGAGAAGGTGAGACATTTTTCCAAAATGCAAAATGCTTACTTTTCGCCCTTTACGCAATCATACAGTGGATAAGAGAGTTTTCTTTTTTACTTAATTTTTTTCATAAAGGGAACACAACAAACTGAAAAAGTTAAACTTCTGTTGAGGGGATATTTATCTGACAAGTTTTGAGAACCACTTTTGTAATCAGTGTGATCTTTCAACCAGTGCAGTTTGGTTTTATTCCCAGCATGCCGTCTGTCTGTGTGCACTTATTGTATTCAAACATATACTCAAACCACATTACCAGTCAGGCAAACTGTTTTTATCTATTCCTTTTTGTGAAATTTTTAGCTTTTCAGACTGTTCTACTTAAAGAGTATTCTGTATGGTGGCAGCTAACAAGTTTATGTTTAAAATTTTCCATTTCTTCAAGGACATTTATTTAGCCTATTCTAGTTTTTCCTTCTGCTTTCCTAATGTGAAAAATATGAAAAATATTTTTTTATTTATTCCACCAGCCAGAAAATCCTGATTAACTTTGAAAACAGAATCCTCTTAAATATTAATGTAAAATAATACTGAAATGTGACGGGGAAATGTAATAATTACCTGGATATTACTCTTGCAGTGTCAGACTGCATAAACTGAAATGCAACGAGGAGTCTGATTTTTTAAATAATATTTCTTCTGACAATAGAGTAAATAAAATAAGTGAGAAAGGCAGCTTTGAAGTACTAGACTCTCTCCATTTCCTTATTTTGCACTGGTCTTCATCATCAACCTTTAAGTCTTAGCGTGACGGCTGTGGCAGCTGACAACCCGATCAAAAGGACACAGACTAAAAAGGTGAAAGCTAATTCTTTTGATGGTTGGAAAATAAGGTTGACCTCTTTTCCCAAAATAAAGAGTTTATTAAATTGTTGCTCTGGGCATGAGTTTAAGCTTCAATTTGGAGGTAAAATGATATACTTACATTGCTTTAGCACAGCCTGTTGAATTGGAACAAAAGAAGGAAATCACATCAGTTTAATAGTTTTACGTTTTTAAAACAGAAGTAACAACATCTGCACAATAACCATCTGTCTTACATCCAAAAACAACAACAACCTTTGATTTTACAGTAGCTTTGTTTTGCGCCAGTTAAGCTGAATTTGTTGCTCAGCTCCAGTTTTATTGTTGTTTGTCTCTGTTTGTGTCTGTGGCCAGAAATGGATAATGATACCAAACGGTTAGTACATCATTAAAAAAAAACAAAAAAACATTTGATGTGCATCCATGGTGTTGATCGCATCATATTTGTAGACATGTTGCATCTCTTCCCCTGCAAATTTTATACTGTCATTAGTCATTATTTATCATTTTTCCCCTCTTCTAGTTTGAAACTAAAAATCAGATCTCGCACCCTTGTCGGCAAATGAGTGAGGAGACTTCAGATTAAATCTTCTTCAAATGTACGAAACATTTTCAGCAATAATGGTTTTCCGTTAAGGTCTGAAAGTATCGATGGAGACTGATGAACTGATAAAAATAACTCCAGCAGTTTTTTTTTTCAGTATATGCGTCTATGAATAATTCAGCCTGTTCCCACAGCATGTGGTCGAATCAAAGAAACATTCGCAGGGATTTTGGGAGTCTGAGCTCAAATTTAGTTAAAAAATACGGAGTTTCCAAAAGTCATTAAATCTGGAAAAAAAAGAGAGAAATCTGCTGCTTGTTGCAAACGCTGACAGAATCATTTGGAAAAACTCAAATGGAAAAAGATGATTTGTTTGACAGCTAGTATGTATCACTTAAATAATTTATTTTAGCAGTTTGTATCATTTTGAAATATTTTATGTGAGAACAGAACATTTAATTGAGACCAATGATTTGAATAACTTGATCCTCATGATTTTGCACTAATACAAAAACAATCAGGAGGAAAAATGGAAACCAGAAGTTCGGATGACTTTTACTGACCAAACTACACTAATACACTAATACATAGCTGCATTTGTAACTCAGAAGTGAGGAGAAAATCATCTAAGTTACACAAATAACCACCAGTCTCTTGGATGTTACTATTTCTCAAATATTGCATTCTTGTTGCCTAAGCCTGATCAAAATCTGAATAAAAGTAAAATGTCAAAATATCATGACAGTTTGATGCAGACTGCTGTAGTTCAGAGAGAGACCCAGACATCAATTATTGTACAGCCACCTTCACACACTTATTGGCACTACTGGTGAAGGTGTGAAAAAAGGCTAAAAATAAATGAACTCTTTATTGCAGCAGAGTGGTCTGAAGCATAATGCAGTAGGACTGCCTTCTGTAGCTGGCAGAAAAGATTAGGCACAATTAAAGGCTTTGCAAATGTGAATTGATTAACAATTCACAGACTATGAACTTGGTTTTGACATACAATTATGCTGCAAAGTGTATGTTTTAGGTAAATCATCAAAATGTCACGTTAGTCTGAAATCAGACTACATCTAGAAATATAAATTAAATGAATTAAATCACCAGAATTAAATCCTGGATTTGAATTAAAAATGTCCCTGAAATTTTAATGTTGCATTTTTGTGCTTACTTTTTCAGTTCTAAAATATTTTCAAAATATTTTTTTAACCTAAAAAAATGTCATTGTCATTATTTCTACCTGGTTTATTCATTTATTTTCACTTCAAGTAAAAAATTCACATTGATGTTTTTTGGAATTTGAGATCTAAATTTGACATTCAGTTTGAATTTTGTTCCTTAGATACACAAATATTTTGACCCTTATGAGGCTCCATAGGGAAGAAATAATTTGAGTTTCTAAAGTGTTTGAATTTTGTATTTGATAAAGAATTTTTATTTTTCTTTGGAGAGGGATAAACAGACATAACAAGTTCAAAGGTCAGAAAGTCTACACATTCAGGATTTGTTTTAAAGATAAATGTATTTGATAAACATCTAAACAGAAAAAAAAATCAAAATTATCACATTTTCAATGACTGTTTCTCCTGTTTAACTTAAAAAAAAAAAAGAATACAACGTCCTGATGACGTCATCAGGTGACTCCCTCCCGGCGCGCTTTAATCCGGAAATAGCTTTGTTTGAATATCAGAACCGGGGAAATGTTTGACACTAAAACCCCAGAATGGATGTGACAGCAGAGGCAGAAACACAGCGTGGGGACCCGCGACGAACCGCGCCAGTTTGTGCTCAAACCAAAAAAGTACGTAAAGCCTAACAGCCGTTAAAGTTATGTGCTTTTATTTTGGCAACGTCCCATACAAGGTGTCCATGGTAACAGAACAACAGCTTAACCGCAATGAAGAAAAAGGTTAACGGCAAGGCAGAAAAACGCAACTTAAATTTAGCTTTGCCAGTAAGGAAGCAAGGTAATGGGGATTGAAGATTAAGTATTTTAGTTCTGTGATGGTTTAATTAATGATTAATGAAATGAATTGTATAAATGTAACGAGCTATGCTTCACGAACGGTGAAAACGCTTGTAATTTTTATTTTTCTTGTTTAACTCTTACGGTGGTCGATGAGGCAGAAGGATGACTTTAATAAATCATTTTACCATCAGTTGCGACCTGCGCCTCCATGGAGGCCCCCATGCACTTTCCTCAGGGTGGATGGATAGGAAGTGGGTCAAGGCTTGCAATGGGCCACACTTAAAACTGACTGAATACAGCTCATTTTAGCAAAACCAGTTGGTGTAGCTTTAAGCTGGGTCTCAAATGTGTATTAGGAAAATCAACACATACAGGGATGATTTGGGTCCCGCTGTTTCCATTCACTGGGTGTCATTTAACCTGACCATAGGTCTGTCACAGTAAGCAATGAATCAATTAATCACATGATAAATTAAAAGAAACTCGATAATTTTCATTTGCTTGATTTATCGTTTTCTCATTTTACCGAAAACTGGATGATAAAAGTCTTCAGTCTGGTATTTTGTTCTCAACTATCCCGTTTTTGGAAAGATAATTAACACAGACTTCATAATTCATTTTATTTGTTGTTTCTTCATTTATTCTGGATATTTCAAATGTCTTCCAACTCCAGTGTTTAAATGTTCATTAGAATTTAAAGTTTATTCAGCCTCCACAATGTGTTCTTGCACTATTCTGCCATTTATATTACTTGAAAATGGCCTCAAAGCAACAACATTATCATTTATCGCAAAAAGTTCTGCAACAATTTATGGTCCAGTTAAATCTGTAATCGTGACAGTTCCTGCCTGACCATCCAATCTTCTGCTCTTCTTTTCAGTCCGTTGGGGCCATGCGTGCAAATTTTGACTGGAAATGTGGTGAATGTGGTACGTATTATCTAAATTTAGTTGTTTTTTTGTCTCAGTAAGCCTAAAATGAACATACAGTATGACATCAAACGCACTACATGCTTGTCAGTGCCACCTAAAGACCGTCTACTTGTAGATTATTTTTATTACAGGCAGCCAAGTAATTAAATTAAACTTAATTAGTGATACTGTCTGTTTGTGAGACAATTGACAAATCTCCTGTGCTGACTTGTCCTTTGAGTGGGAACTTCTACGTAATTAAGTATCTCTGTGATGAAGATGTGCAGAGGAGCTATGAATCACATCATGTTAGCTGCCATTGATGAGGCTCAGGGTGAAGCATGGTGAAGCATCAAACGCTCGTTTATAAAAATGAAAGTAAATAGGCACATAAAGGCCAGGTTGATTGTGTGAGTTTTGAATGACTGATGCATGCATAATAAAATCCTAAGCAAATGTAAATCTTTCCATGTATTCATATAATCATCCATCAATCCACTTGTTTTCAGTCGCTGTTTATCCTTGTGCCTATTTACTTTCTGCATTATGTGAGCATAATAAAACAACCCTGGGCGTATTTAAATATTTGTGCCACATTTTTCACATTATAGCTGAAAAGCGTGGTGAACACAAACTGCTTTTCTGTTTTTTTTTATTTTTTTTATTCAATGTTGATGAAGGCCAGACAGCGGATGATATTTTGGTAGCAATATCATATAATATACGATTAAAAAATATCATTAATTATTAACAGTTTGCAAGGGCTCATCTAAATGGATGCTTTTGAAATATGAATTAGCAGATCATGAATGTTTGGAGGGAGATAGATGAAGCAGGTGGTAATCAATATGCACATCTTCCTGGCACCTAAAGCTAATAAAGATCTGTCAGCAGGAGCCAGACAGTGTGGCGCAGAGCCTGTGTTTAGGGGGGGATTCTCCACTAATTGTTGATGTGGTTTTGCAATTAGACTTATTGTGCGTGCGGTTTGTGTTAAAGCCATATTGGTGCTACCCGCGAGTGGTTTTTCAGACTGTAATGCGGATGCAGCTATCGTACATCATCAAGACGTCATCCGAGTTATAAAACATCCGATTCACTTCCAAAAAGCGTAACCTTCTGTTGAAACGCAGGCAGGAACCAAAGGGAAAGTTAAGAATGTTCTATGAAGATCGTAATTGTCTGTTTTATGGTTTTTTGCATCATGTGCGCTGGCTCAGGCTCCCTGTTTTAGCTTGGCCTCGCAGACTGTAGTGACTGTCAGTGCGATCACACCGAAACTGCAGCGGCAGACATTTCACTTTGAAAGGATTATTAATGAAATCTTGGTCTTTACACAGTGTTTCACTCTGACACTGGAAGAAGTTCTCTCTCCCTCCAAGTGACTGTTAGAGCAGCTGAGTGGACTGGGAGAGAGTGTAATTGTCACAAGAGCTTTCCAGCTTTAGGAGTCATCTTAAACTGCCGCGGTCACACTTTAAATCCTCTGGGATTATTGTGTGTTTGGTTGAGACATGCACTTGGATTTTTTGGCAGGCATATCACATGAAATCAAAGTTGAACTCCGTTGCTCTTCAAATCCTGGCTGTGGAGACCAAGTGTTATATAACCACTAATAAATTAAAAAGGTCAAGAAATGTGCTTCAGGCATGGTCATGATTTGAACAACTCGGAAAACAAGGACTAATCAAACAAAAGCTGTGTTTCACTAAAATAGGGCACTGAAGTGATTATAAACTCCGCCATGTGTAACTAATCATTTAAGTCTGATTAGCAAAGTGTCTTTGCTAACTAGCAAGTAATTTGTTGCCATATTATATACACAGGTCAGTTTGTTAGGTATATCTTTGTCAGTATGAGGTTGGACCCCAATGTGTCTTCTGTTTTTTTGTGGCAGATCTTAATTAAACAAGTGAAAAGAGTATTTCAATAATCCAGCCGAGCCAAACTCATGGCTTGCGGGCCAAATTCGCTGCCAACTCAGCAACTTTCTTGCTTTATTTAGCAACATTTCAGACAAAAAAAAAAATTGGCATCGGCCAAAATCGGAATCGACAGATCACGTTTTTTTAAATATCGGTAATCTGTGATCGGCCAAAAAACTGCAATCGGTGCACCCCTAAATATGTACACAGTTATGCCACAAACATCCAGCGACTTCTTACTCAGAAACACACGTGGGCACACCCATTCATTATATTTAGCTGAACGCAGCAAAGTTTTCAAAAGAAAATTTTCATTTTTGTTGCTGGAAGTGAACTAAAATATTTTATAGACCAACAAATTAAATTAATTGTCCTAAAAAGGTAAATAACCTTAAAAATGGCGGCAAATGTTTTACTAATGTTGGTTTCATTGTTTGTTTCGTTTGTTTGTTAAATTTATTGTTGTGGACAAATAATTCACAATAACATTATTTTTGCAAATTTGATTAGAGAGAAACTGCTCATTTTGACCCCCAACATCGACTATTTTGGACCTTGGTGCAAAACGTCTGGACACCTCTGAGCAGTGGAATGAAACTAATATGCCTCTCGTCGGACCATAGCGTCATTTAAAGTGTTGTTCATCCTTGAACTGTGATGGACACACCTTCATCTGACCAAACGTGCCAAACTGCGGTTCTCTGCCCTCCTCCTATCACCCTGAGACGGCTCTGGAGGGTTGAGAGGTATGACCCATAATGCATCACCTCCCGCCTTTGGCCATCTGGTGCTGAGTACGACCTGAGCGAAGTGAGGGTTTGTTATAACCATCACAGCACATGGGTATCAGTCTCTCCTGGCTCTCTAGGAAATTGACTCATTAGCTCAGTGCTGACTGGCTGAGGATGCATTATTCATGTGGTGGGAAGGGCGGGGCTGAGTCTGTCTGCTTGTGTGGTTGAGGGGAGATGTCGCAGGTGGCTGGAGGTCCTCTTGAGAGGCTGGTGCGTGATGGACAAGGGAAAAGACGGCCTCTCCACTAAGACATCAGACAGATGTTGGGTCGATTTAGTGCATCCAGACACACTTGTGTGAAAAGTTGTGGGTGGCTGAGCATGCAAAAACTTCAGCTGCTGCTTAAAGTCTCAGTTACAGGTGCACTGGATAGATAAGATGGAGGAAAAGCTTTTAGAAATGTAACCCATACAAAGCCTTTTTCCTTTAAAGCCTCTCTCTCCTCATCTTTATTCCTCCTCGTTTAAACAAATATTTCCATAGTTTGAGGAATTGTTTTGATCTCTTTCCAAGGGTCAGATTATAAAATCAATACCACTCTCATATTCATTGCTCCAGCCTGATGTGAATTTAAAACCACAAGCCTTGGTCCATCCAAACATAATAACATTTCAGTACTACAACCTCAAAATCTTACATGTTAATTTGTTGTCCTGTTAGCCTGATCTATAAGAGGGGAGCATAAGAAAGATGATGCACTTTGCTAAATGGGGTTATGTGTCAGACCATTTGTTGGCCAGCAGAGGCAAACATTTGTTAAATCAGTAAGTAGGGTCATTGTTATCCGTGCGGTCTTGGACCAGGCAGAAATCTGGATAAATTTCATTGTTTTTGGCAAGGAGTCGCAGGATGATGGGTTGTGCCCGAAGTCTGGAGGAAGCAGTGACGGATGATAATGGGGCACTCTAGTGATTGAATCTGGCATCAAAAACTGAACACAGCGTCATGATCTGAACAATATACACTTTTAAAGCAACAATTCACAAACATTATGTGTTTGGTGTCTTGCCAGTGGGCTTTGGAAATGGTTGAACGTATCAGATATAGCCCCTCTAGTAAAGGTCGGCATAAATAACAGCAACATTTCTGTTTGTCATACAGAAACGTAGCACAGAACAGAAATAGCAAACAATAAAGGCATTTTTTTATTTGCCTTATTTTTCAATGCTTTATCGCCATGGGGTGTTTCAGAGAAAATATTCCATCATTCCTTTTTGTTTGTTTAAGATATATTTGGAACTGATGGCCTTTGTTAAACAGTGAGTATGGAGAAAACAGGGGCAGACATGATGCTGCAGCAAGTGGCCAGAGATTAAACCGACTATAATCTCTGCATCACTTTTTTACATATCTATCTGATTCTGGAGCATGAACAACAGTTTGACGTCCAGCTCAACTGGACTCCCAGATTTCTTTGGCTTATTAGACACAAATTACTGAGTTTTGCAAGAACTGCTTAATATTGTTCACTTTTTAACAACCATTGTTCCAAACTTTAATATTTTCTGCTGGTAGAGTTTTTCTCTGTGTTGGATTTTTAAAACATTGACCTGAATTTGAATCATCTTAGTTTCTGTATTTTGTGACTTAACTCCAGAGTTGAATAGTTACATTTACACAGCGGCATTGACTTGAGTAACTTTTTTGAAAAACATTACTGTTAGGAGTATTTTTACAACACTGTACTTTTTACTTTTTACTTGAGTAATTTTGAAGTATTTCTTCTCTTGAGTAAAACCTGGATTTTCTATATACTGAATGAGAAACAAACATGTTTTAACCAAAAATTCACCATAAACAGACACACACCTGCAGTTTGTATTAAAGTTTTATAAGATTTTTATTGAAAGAAACTGATTTTGAAATGTTGTAATTTTTGTCCTTAAAATACCAAATTTTCCACATAACTATGTTTCGCTCTGTCTGATTATGTAATTTAAAAAATAAATAAATAAATAACTGGTAATTTGATACTCAGTACTTGAGTAGACTTTTTACCAAATACTTTTCTACTCTTGAGTAATTTCTTGGATTTTACTGGAGTAAAATTATGTTGAAGTAGTTCTACTGTTAGAGCTAAAGCTCCTGTAGACTATTGTCACATCAGGAGATATTTACCACTAATTCTTGTTGTTGCACGTTGAAATTACTTTCCAAACTTGGGGGTCAGAATTATGCTGGATTTAGAATAGTAAATATAAAATAACTAAATGTATGTGCTGTTACTCTGCTATAATTAACAATCTCCACCTAACTGAGAATCTGACAGCAAAAACAGAGAATTATTTTACCGTAAATTAAAAACAGACTTGACACTAAGCCACGTTTTGTTTTTATCAAGCTAATCTGGTGCAATGTCACACCAACATATGTGGCAAAATAAACAGCAGCTGAATTCAAATGAAAGCAACTTCTACATAATTCAGTCAGTAGATATAAGAAAATATAACAAATATTTTTAACCAGAGGGTTGTTATGATTTGAAAAATAAACTTGTTCATCTGGTAGTTATAGGTTTAGCTTTTAATTTCTGGAAACATTGGTGTGTGTTGCAATATACTTAATTAAGAGATATTTAAGTGCAAAATTGTATATTTTCACTTTTATGTACCAACAGGTTTAAAATAGCAACCAAGTAAAGCACTGATCATTCCTGTCCAAGTTGTTCAACATGTTCAGCACAGATCAGCCAGCTCTGTACGGTTTATTTTTCCACTGCATGTAGCTCCCAAATGGATAATGTTTCTGTTGGTAAATGTTTTTGTGAATCGGTCTGAGATCATCTCACCACTGCAGACTTCTTATTGGCTTGAATCCTCAGTTATGAGCACGGACAACATGATTTACCAACATGTTTTTTTAAAAGCCCACTTGAAAACTGAGCACAATATTTACAACTTTAATGGTGAAAATCTCACTTGTGTGCATGACAACAATCAACAGAGGTTCATTAAAACTCAAGTGTGGCTCCACAAAGCCGTCTATTCTCCTCCGCTGTCCAGAGTTGAGCTTGGTAGCCCTCAGTCATTATAATCATTCCCAAAAGATTTTTTAACCCTGCTGTACTAAAAGCCTGTCAAAAACCATTCAATTCAATAACCACTCCATACTCCTCCATCATCTATTTGTTAGTCATTTGTTAAAAAGGGCTTCCCGAATCAATGCAGTGCAGCCTATTGAACTGTGTCTGTGTGTCATCACGGCTGATTTGGCCCCTGCTGAGAGGATTTTGTGGCTGTGGCACCTTACCGTATTGTAAGAAAAACTCTCAGAACATTAAACTTTTTAAATGCTTTCAGAAATCTTCCTCACTTTGTCTTCCAGCTGCATAAAAAGCAATTGAAGCTTACGTCATTCTTTCATGCTGCGGCGAGATACAGTCATTTTGGTTGGTGACAATAAAGAGGAAAGAAGACACATGATGGTGATGGTGGTGGTGGCAGGATCATGCTGTGGGCATGTTTCCATTCTGCAGGAACAGAAAAACATTTATTTCATAAGAGTAATTACTGACAGCATATTATGTCGAAAGTCCCATTTAAAAAGACAGAGTACCCAAAAATACTTGAGTAAAAGTAGCACTACTTCAACTTATTTTTGATCGTGTAAAAGTAAAAACTAGTCATCTAAGAAATTTCTCAAGTAACAGTAAAAAAGTATTTGGTAAAAATGTTTACTCAGTAACTGATCAAATTATCATTCATTTAATATTTAAAAAATTACGACAGACGGACCAAATTATAAAGTCAAATGGAAATTGTGGTATTTTAAGGATAACAATTACAATAATTCATATAAATAACAAAAAATAAAATCTTTCCAAAGCAATTTCCTTCAATAAAAAACTTATGAAACTTTAACAAAAACTGCAGGTGTGTGTGTGTCTGTGTCTGGTGAATTTTTGGCTAAAACGTGTTTATTTTTCATTCAGTGGGCAAAAAATCCAAACATTTTACTCAAGTAAGAGTAGAAATACTTCAACCTAAAATTACTCAAGTAAACAAATAAAGTACAGAGTAGTAGAAATACTCCTAAATGTACTTTTTTTTTTTTTCCAAAAAGTTACCCATGTAAATGTAACAAGTTACTACCCAAGTCTGCATTTAAACCATACCAAAATGTCAAAGTAAATTGCATTAATGTATAAGTGAAGCTGCATTAACTTGGGATTTATTATCTATTTTCTATGGATCTTGTTTTATCCTTATGAGGTTAAAACCAGTGGCTCAGGGAGGACAGGTGCCTGGTAGATATAATTTACTGCTGGATTCAGCCGCATACAAACAGAGCCACAATAATCAGGTCAGAGCATCATAGAGCGAACATCACCAACCCTAAATCTACTGAGAATGACCTCAACACTAATGAGCACAGCTTTCAGTCTGTTGGTGTGCAAAGCTGGTGGAGCAGAACTGAAAAAAAAAAAAAAAATCACAGTTGTTATTCCTCAAAAGGTGGATCTGTGTTAAATCAGTGGGATGGATATAAATTTGCACAACATTTCTGAAAACCATACATCAGTTTCCTCCTATTTTGCAAATATTTACTACCGTTTGATTCTATGATGCAAAATATGTGGCTTCAAAGACATGATAAATGTGATATTTCTGACTATTTTATATTGTTTCTGTAGAAAATGAATAATGGTGCAATAGTAAAGAAGTCCACTATAGGAAAAAAACAACAACAGGACAGCTGTGAATCAATGCATAAAGCAGAGGACTGATAGTGTTTTAGGAAACGTTTTTATGTATTTGTGGATGAAATTCACTTGGACTTTTGCAACTCTGCAGATAACTTCTGATGAAGAGTCGGTCAGCACACCTCTACAGTCCTGACCTGATGCTCACAGAGAAACTCTGCAGGCAGGTTAAAACAACACAGCAGGTTTGTGTCTGCAGTCTCCACAGCTTTACTGAAGACTAGCAACCCCGTTTCAAATGAAACGGGAAGCATCTCCTCCCAGAACAACTGCAGAGATACAAACAGTAACATGAAGCCGACACCAGACTCTGGGAAAGTTAAAAATGTTTGGTGTTTATGGATGCACACAGAAACAACTGCTTTAAGATGTGAAAGGAAGCCTTATGTGTGTTCTAGCTGTGCTGTTAAAATGTTTACATTTATCTGGCACTTTTTTTGTTTTACTGTTGTAGACGTTATGGCCACAGATTTCCAGAAAACTTACTTTTTGCAAACTTACTTATTCCTTCCGTTTTTATGGTGGAAATTTGCTTTGAGGCTACACAGCAATTGAGAGTGAGCAGATATATTTGTGAAGTTAAAGTAGATCAAAATGAATCTAATAAAAAAAAACTTGTTTGCAGTGTTTTATCTCTGCCTCAAGATCATCAGTTAGAGTCAATTCAATAATTTGATCCGTTGCTCAGGGGACAATGCCAGTGGAAATTAGAGGTGTTTACTTTGCTGCTCATAAATGTCAACTCCTTTCTCAGGCATGTGGCCCAACATCATCACACTTCCACCTCTGTACCTCACTGAAAAGACTAAACCAGAAAGAAATTGTTATTGACATGCAGGATAATGGCTTCCCAGTAAAAGATATTGTTGCTGCCAAGTTTGCGTCCCTATCAGCTGTTAGATTATGAAGAGCTCTGAGGAAGGATGTTCAGTTTTTGGAAGGAAGCATCAATGTGGCCAAGGAAGGAAGACCAGGAAGTTAGACGTCTAAAAACGGATTGCCTGCAGTAGAAACTTATAACCCAATGATGCACTGCATAAACTTGGTGTATTTCTGAAAAAAAAGTATATGAAACTTATTAAATGTTAATCATTTAACTACTTTTACTTAAATATCTAACACCAGCAAAAAGATTTGGTGTCAAAACTTTAGACTGCAGTTGTGCATTACTTATCAGGATGCATGATGGCGTTGATATTAGCAGTGTTGCCTTGCAGCAAGACAGCCTTTGGTTTAAATTCCTGTCTTTGTGGATTTCGCCCGTACATGCATGTTTTTTCACCAAGTACTACATCTACAATCAACCAAAACCAAGAATGCAGATTAGTTTGGTAAAGTTTTAATTTTGGACGGCCAAACTTTCCAGGTTGTGGCCTATCTCTTGCCTGCTGACCACTGGACATAGTCCCAGTCAGATTTCACAACCCTGCATAGGAAATGGATGAATGGATATCAAACACCTTTTCTGTGTCTCTTCCTCCTTAAAATATATTTTGTGAAATGCAGAAATCGGCCAGCCACAAACTGCTGATGAAACCAGAAATCCTCCTGCGGTTTATTCACATTAAAACCGCCTGGCTGAAAAGTGTCCTCTGCAAACATTTCATGAAGCTGCATTACAAAAGTTCACTTGAAATTTGCTCTACAAAAGATACGTGGAGACAACGGAAATGATGCACGAAACAAGAAAATAATCGTGTGTGAAAGCCAGTGAAGCTTCAGATGTCCGCTGTAGTCATGGTCGGTTTAGCCATGTCCTCATGCTTTAGCAGGTTTTATGCTCGGGTATGTCGCCACCGTATAATTGCTAATCAATGTATTGATTGATAGAATTTATATAGTCCCATTACAATTTCAACACTACAGAAATTTTATTTGCTTTTAGAAAGACACCGTAGTGTGACCAATCCACTTTTATTGCGGCAATAAAATCTGCCATTATATATCGAAAGCCACGTCACAACAGAGAAGCTTTAGGAGTTCAGTTTGGGTCTTCAATAGAGTCTGCTGTAAAAATACAACTCTGTTGTGAGTGCAAAGCCAATTAAGATATCCCGTCTGTGTGTGTGTGTGTGTGTGTGTGTGGGCGGGAGGATGAGTATTTTACTGTGCATCTGTACAATAATAGCACCCTTGAGGGGGGCTGTCTTAATAACATGACGATGTAATCTGCAGTGGATGCTCCCTGAATTACAATAGCTTCGTCTCTGCTTGTGTGTGCATTCATTTCAACTTTCAAACAAATCGTCGGGAGTGAAAATCTAAAAAGCAAACATAATTACCTCCAAATGAAAGCAGTTGTCTTTGAAGAGTAATTACAGCAGCCTAAAACTTTAAATCCAAGACGCGTGGATATACCGTACCTGCCACTTGTTGACAAACATTTAGGTCTTACTGTATGCCTCACACAGAGACGCTGCTGGGAGGAGGAGGAGATTTAGCTGATAAATCAACAGCTTTGAGATTAGGCTGGATCATTGGCATTGAGTGGATAAGGATAATTTACTGTATAAGACAAAGCTGTGAGCTTCGGGAATCAGCTGTCAAAGACTTTGTCCAGCAGATGACAAAATCATGCTGAGAGTCATGTTTTCGCCTTATGCAACCATAGCCAGTCTTTGACATTTGCAGCATCGATTAGGCTCTGAGGGGGGAACTGCATTGTCTAAGTTGACAGGAGCCGAACAAGCAAACAAAAGCTTACACAAAAGCAAAGAAATATCTCTGCTTCTCCTCAACATCCCATCCTTCTGCTGAATTGTACCCTTGATTTGTGCCGGCTGGCTCAACTTAGCTCAGGGGCTTTATTAGCTTCTAATAGGTATGTCATTTGAAAGTGACAAATCTGACAGCCATTTTACCGAGGGTGTATGGTGCCGCTCCTGCTGCTGCTTTAATAGAGCCATTGGTCTGTTTCCCGCAGAAAAGACAGAAGGCGCTGGAGGAGCCTTGTCTTTTTGTTGTTTTTTCCTGCTGACTCAATGTGAGCGCTGCAGCACAAAGCCTTTGTCCCACCATGTGGGGGATTGCAAGGCGTTCTGAACATTGTGCTGTGAGAAGGCAAGGGGTTGATGCTTTAGTTGCAAATCCCAAAAACAGAACCGGGTCCCCCCCTCCTTCTACTGTGTTCTGCCTGCTGGCAATATGACAGAGCTGAACAAAATATGCAAGTTTCTGGTGATGTGCTTTAGAGAACGAGATGATCTGATAAAGGCAGAAAAAAAAAATCTCTCTCTATATAGGGGCCTGTGGTACAGACTTGAATGATGAAGTTTCTTTGCATCTCCATCTCTCATTGTGATGATGGCGACCTGTATTTGCATATGCATGCATTGCTTCCCTTTTCTTCTCCTTTTTCTTGGAGAGCTTGTGTCTGGAGTTCTCCTGCAATGGGAATAAATAGTGATGTGAGCTGAAAATCTACTGCAAGCCTAAATCTGTCACTGCAGAACATCTATGATTTTAATTCATTCCCACAATTACATTCTGCACATTCAGCTGGTGGCGACTTGTTGAATTATTCCCAGTTCTCTTTGTTGCATTATTGTTATTAGCTATATCTTATTCTCCTCAGCTGAAAACTGAAACAATGCATTTTCCCCTCAGGGACCATTAAAGTTTAATCTAGACTGAATAAAAAAAAATCTACAACTTGAAATTATTCTGCCCTAGTAGTTATAACTCTCTGTTGGACCAACCTATATTTCTACAGAAATAAAATATCCAGAGCCCCTTTACCACATAAAATATAAATATATTCTGCATGAGGTATTTCTTACACTCACTAATTGTCAGATTTATAAACTTCAGTATATTCCACCGTGTTTTCTCTTCTGAAATTCATGTTAGCGTTGCAAACTTTAAGGGGTGTATCTCATAATCTTTTACAACTTTTCCTTTTTTAGCTGTGTTCAAGCTTGTGACTCACAAAAGCTAGATTCATTTTCATGTCTGAAATCATGAAAATGAAGTATGTACAAACGTAAAAAAGGAAGAAGAAAAAAAGACAACAAGCCAGTCGATAACGCTGCCAAAAGTTACTGAAAAGTGAAGTTTGGAACATCCAAACTGGACTTTTATGTATACTACAATGACCGGGAGGATAGCAGTAAAGACAGTCTCCTACTCCAACAAGAGGTAATAAAGACTTTATATGGCTTTTAGACAGGAGGAGAAATGCAGTTTGAAAGCAGTAGCCTGGGAACCTAAAAAAGGTGAACTCAGTTAAAGCAATCTTTGGTTTTGATTCGGATCTGACCAACATTGTTATTTTGGTGCGAATTGATGTTAAATTGTCTAAAACTCAGAGTTCTGCAGGTTAATCCCTCCATGTTTTACCAAAAATGAATCTGTAAAAAATGTTTCTGCCTGTTGTGCCACTCAAACTGTTTAAGGCTGATGGAGATTTTTCTCATATGTTTGTTGCTAAAAGGTATAAGCTAATGCTACATACAGTATATGGTCAATAGAAGAGACGTTAAAATCTCATATGCAGACTGTGGTCATAGACTTACCTATCGATCATAACCTGTATTTCCATTACAAATGGGTGCAAAACTTTGTAGCTATTTTCTTTATGTCTATAAACTGAAATATTGCAATTGTATAAGAAAAGCAATTAAAATATGAAATGAAAATAAGTTTGTTCACCTGATATGTCTTTAAAAAACATCATCCTTCACCACTTCCTGTCGTCTTCTTCGTCTTTTCCAGCAGTAGTAACATCCGGTTGATGATCACATGACTCGTATGACACAAAGAAACTGTTTCCACTGCAGTTTTGAGAAATATATTAATTTTGATAAAGCTGAAAAACCACCTCATACCATTGGGGGAAAAAAAAGCTATCTAAAATATTTAAGCTTTTTCGAAATTGCTGCATTTCCATTAAGCACATTTATTTTTGGATTTCCAATTTGGGCAATTATATTGCCAATGGAAACGGAGCTACAGATAAACAAAGGTCAAGTCAGTTTATACGGCACATTTCAGTAACGGTCAATTATTTCACAGACTCCAAAGAGGAAAGTGGATTTGTTGCATCAAGAGGCCACAAAGTCAGTGGTCTGACTGCTGACTCCCTGCTCATTTCTCAGCTTTAGATTTCTCTTTTCTTTAAATCTAAAATCCCAACAGACATAATGCTGCGCTGTAGTGAAACCCAGGCTGGGGGCAGAGATATGAA